CCCCCACGGAGGGGGGGGGGGGGGGGGGGGTTGGTGTCACAGCCACAAATGGGTGGCCAACTCCATGATAAAGTCCGTGGTTTTTTGGAATGGGATGTCTAACAACCTCATATTGGTGTGAAGGTCAGGTCAGGTGTCCACAAATGTTTGGTTATATAGGCTACATCAAGCAGGGAGGGCTTTCCACAGAACAATCAGACCACACAGGTGAGGAGCTCTCCGGAACATGGCCAGAGCAGATACAAGACTTCATGTAAACATGGACTGTAGTGGGGTCTGCAAGATATGGCATTAACAGTTCAGATTCACCTGCTGCCTGGCATTGCCACTTAACACCATATAGTAGAAAACTGCACAATTTGAGAGGTCAATGAAACCCTTGAAAAAGCTTCAATTCAACCAAAACTATGCAGTGATATCAGAGGAAGCCATTTCAGTCCCGGAGAGGAGCCGGTACAACTGTGCAAGACTGAAAAGGGAGGTTGGAGGTCAGTTTTAAATTCCAACCATTAACATCGCCAGCTAGGAGGAAGGAATCCGCCTGCGCAGCGACCGAGGATCTGGAAATCAGGAAATGAGTCTGATCACAACAGAAGTCTTCAGAGATAAATATTGATGCACAAAACAAATACAACATGTCAGGCGAACGCCCACAACGTTGGCTGCAGCGCGCGCTCGGGCGGACAGATGGCATCGCTGGAGGAACGTTCGCGAAAATCTGGAATTGTTTTAAAAGTTCCAACAATGAAAAGCTGAAGACGTCTTGTAACACTGATCACAAGGAAGGAGAACCTGTCGCGGTGGCCATTGCTTCAACATTGTGAAAATGCTGGCTGCCTGGCTTTCCAGCACACCCCGAGGCTTCAGACCTGGGACAAGCATGCAGAAAGTGAAAGTGTGTACACACCCAACAATGAACTTCTCTGATCTGCTTCCAGTTATGTCTAGCACTGAAATCATTCCATAAGTGTAAAAACAAACAAACCCTGTTGATCCTGCCAGGAATCCACTGAGCTGATAACCTGCCCCCCAGGGACATGGCGCATGTAGCACTTTGTCCCGTATTTCTAGGTGGTGTAAAATGTGAGCTGGTGTTGTTCTCTGCACTCCCCACTTACCACACTGCTACTCGACCACAACATTAACAAGGAGATAAATACTAAGCGAGCCTCGACTGTCTGCTGGACCATGTGCTTGCCCAAGTATACAGGACTCCCCCTGACAAAGCCTTCTTCCATTTGTCTCTCTAGAAGGAAGGCCCCATCTTTGTTTGGGCATCATCCAGGGTCACCATCTACTTACTGGACTAAGATGCCGGCTCAGAGATGACACAATAATGTAAATCCTGGTGTCCCAGCAGTTCTTGGCTGTAATGCTTCCTCCTGCCTGCAGCAGACTGATCACTGGGGGAGCAGAAACTGAGGAAATGCTTCCTCCTGCCTGCAGCATGCTGATCACTGGGGGAGCAGAAACTGAGGAAATGCTTCCTCCCGCCTGCAGCAGACTGATCACTGGGGGAGCAGAGACTGAGGAAACGCTTCCTCCCGCCTGCAGCAGTCTGATGACATCTCAGCCTAGGAACAGTCACTGAGCAGAGCATAAAGTCTGCCTTTTAATGATACAGCTTTACTAATAATATTACACTGTTGCTCAGGGGCGTGACTAGAAATCACAGGGCCCTACAGCAAAATTTTGTATGAGCCCACCATAAACTCTCAGGTGCAGAGCCCACCTGAGATCCCACGCAGCCCACCTGAGAGTAACACTGCAGAGCCCACCATAGACTCTCTATAGTGAACTCTACAGGGTCTCAGGTGAGCTGGCCACACCCCTGCACACAGCTTACCTGTCAGCCTTCTCCACCGCCAAGCCCCGCCTCCTCCTCAGTCACCAGTGGGCCCCGCCTCCTCCTATGCTGCCGCCGATGTGCCACGGCCTCCTCCACCGCAGCTGCTGCCGGTCACTGACTCAGCAGCGGCTGTTAGGAGGAACGTGCCACTGCACAGATCACTGACAGGTTGTGGGTGATCTTGACAGCGGCGCATTCCTCCTCACAGCCGCCAGCAGCTTGCAATGCCATAGCGACCCAGGCCCGCACGGCATCAGGGGGGACTTCCTTTGTTCCTGGTCCTAGCCGGGCCCCCCTTTGCCCCTGGCCCCATAGCGGCCGCCTGGGTCGCTATGGCGATAATATACAGCAACAGCAGTGGCGGAATTGTCACACATTGGTGATGTATTCATGCAACATAGCAATAAAATGATCCTCAAGCCTAACAAAAATAATTTATTTCTGCCCATCCACACGACAGGACCTTCCACGATATGCATGCGGCCATCCCCTGTATACGTCCGCGCTCAGTTTAGCGAGCGAAGCACACAACATTTGCTACGAATTGAGACGAATTGGCCGCCGTCTGCCCGAAGAGCGATACATAGAGGGCCCTTTGACTGCAGAACACTCCCTCCAACCTGCCAATGCAAACCCGGCGACTGGAAGGAAACCGAATCCGCTTCCAGCTCCTCGGGAGGGGGGGCAGCCACAGACGACAACAAAAACAGGGAAAAGTAGACGCGACTGAGCGACATTCACAGGAAAACCTCAGCCGGTGAGTCACCCCGTGAACAAGGACGGGTTTCAGCCTGGTCTGATTAATATGGGAGCGCGGAGAATACACAAGGGTTTGGATGGACAACGGGACCCCAGGGGCCGATTACCAATCCCGACAGGCGAGACGGGCCGGGGGCTTTTTTGTTGTTGTTTTTACTATTATGCAAATTAAAGATTTTGCCGTCAACATTAGAGATATAGGTGGAGTCTGAAGGGATGAGCCACCCGCTGGGGACTATGGCTGCCCTAAAATACCGCGAGCAACAGGTTCACTTTAAAGAAGAACTCGCAACAAATATATATATATTTTTTTGGGAGGTCTATACTAGGCATGCACCAATACTAGTATCGTTATCTGTGCCAATGCCAAGTGTGTGGGTGAGTACTCGTACTCGCCCAAATACTCCGATGCCTAGCCCGATACCTGACCTTTCGGTATCAGGAAGCCGGGCAGCGAGTCATTACACAGCGCTGGGCTTCCTGATTGGCCCGGAAGCCGGCTCCATGCTTCCTTGTCACGAGGAAGCATGGAGGAGGCTTCCCTGCTAATCGGGAGGCCAGGTGGCGAGTCATTACACAGTGCCTGGCTTCCATAATGGGACTTTAAAAGGAGAACTATGGGGTTAGGGCTTTTCCCTGTAGTTCTCCTTAGGGTAACGGGAGGACACAAACTAGCGTCCTCCCGTCACCCTAAGCTCAGTATTTAGGGAGCTACAGCTCGCGGTATACTGAGACGCTGCAGCTGAAACGGATCCCGACAATTATGTCTGGATCCGCCCAGCTGCGTGAGTGACAGCTGGCATTGCCTATCTAGAGGCAGAGCCAGCTGTACCCGCCCCCTCCCCCGGCCGTTCCGCGAGTCTGAGCTGGAGGATCGGAGCGGGGAATCCCTGCGGCGAGCTGTGAGTGACAGTCATGGCTTTCTGCGAGAAGTGAGCGAGCGCCGGTATGTGTTCGCTCACCTCCCGATCTACTGAGCCGACCTGTGACAGTCTCATTGTCACAGGTCGGCTAGAACTATGAGGATGAGTGAAAAGCACTCGCCTCATAATTCTCATTTAAATGGCACTTTCGGTATCGGCGAGTACCGGGAAA